CCCCCAGGCAGCCGGAGGAGCGGCAGGACGGTGCACAGCAGCGTAGCCCAGACACAGGCCCCGTTGACCCCCACCACGGGGCGCAGAGGGGCGGAGAAGGCACGGAGCACCGTCCGACAGCCGAACAGGCAGGACGCCGCGACAGCGCGACTGAGGACAACCGTGCGACGACCGACGGTCCAAAACCACAACGAATTGCGACAGGGGATGAGGGTTTCTCCCATGACGAGAGTAAACCGTAAAAAAAACGTAAAACAAACACTAAAAAAGAATAATAGCGGGTGAGCAGCGGCAGCCAGACGCGCCAGCGTTCACTCAACCCGGAAGTCAAATGTCAGACAGATGAAGCTCTCGAGTCCAAGTCTGATTTATTTGACTGAGAATTTTTTTTTCAAAGCAATAATAATCATATTTTCTGAGTAGAAGCCCCTCTGTTCAATTTATATTTCATGAGAATTTAATTGACTCTCAACACCTAAATTAAAAACATCTTGAGTTATTTTGCCAAGTTATCATCACTGAATAAGATAACATTTCTAGAATGCCATGCCAGCTGTTAAGTTAGTGCAATGTGACCAGCAGATATTACTTTGGCGTTTATTTCATTGAAAGTCATTGGGTCAGACGTTGCAATTGAAGGCTGCCAGCAAATAAAGTTCAGAGGACAGTGGGTGGAGAGAAAGCGTGACTGTTTGTCCTGGATGTTGGAAAACTATAAGTGAGCCGGTGTTATTTTGAGACACAAACAAGAGGGCAACTGCGACATGTGAGTCATGTGGGCTGGCAGATGTGAGAGGGGGGGAAAACCAGCAATTGAGGTTTCACAAGAGAGAGCGTGATCGAGTGATGAAACCCATCCGGGAGCAACAGCAACAGGTGTTGTGTATGAGAAGGGGTGGTCAGGATGGAGCAGCTGTCTCGTCTGTTCACAACATCTCATCAAAAACAGACATGATGGACTGAATCGAGGGAGGAGAGCTCACGATTGAGGAGCACTCAAGACCTCCACCAACATCACATATGTGTCTGTTTAATAGTAATCAATGTCTGGTCGATGGTTGCAGTGTTTGCCTGTACATTACTGATGGGTGGACCGTGTTAGGTTCGAAACGAACTGAAAAAGGTTTAGATCCCAGAAATGCAGACACAGACAAAATGCAATAACAAAAATGTTTATCCAAAACGCAATACCGTCAACGTTCAAAACAGAAAACGCTGGTCACAAGGATCCAGGGAAAAACGAGGAATCAACAAAAAGGCACTTGCAAAAGGTAAGGTCATGGAACACCGAGAATACAAACGAAATGACAAGAGTTCAATTCACACGACAAACAAAAGCAAGATCAAATGACTAAACAACGACTGTACTTACAAAATGTGAAACTTAGGGAACAAGAATGATTATAACGAGATCAAAAGGTCGAGAAAAACAACACTTGAGGAAGAGCAGCAACAAGGTCAATAATCCGACAGAGACATGGGATCTTGGCAGTCCTTAAATACATGTCTTAATCATAATGATCAGATTGGAAGCAGGTGTGTATACTGGAGGAAAAGTCCTCCGCTGCCACATGCTGCAGACACACAAGAACAGGATCATGACGTATCGATCCAAATACTGATTGTCAATATAAATATCAAATGGTGTGTTCCAACAACATGGAGGATCACACCCCTCACCCTGCTTGGTAAGGTCTATTCTGGAGAGGAGTGTGCATTGGGAAGTCGTAGTGCTTTGGGAGTATCGTGTACTGCAAGGGTGTCCAAACTTTTTCATTTGGGGGCCGCATACAGACAAACGGAAGGATGAAAGGGCCACTGTGAAATCCTTCAACTTTTTGAGACACGCTAAAGTCAGTCAAGGAAGCATTTATGTATTGATCTTATTATCTGGTTAATTTCATCAGCTTTCTGTTGAGGTGTTAAGGAAAATAGTTTAGGATTTTTTTTGGGGTGGCCAACAGCCATCTATCTCACAGGGTAGATCCATCTCTGCAGTAAACACCAGCCGAATCCCATCTCCACATTCAGAACCCAAAAATGATCAAACTGTAGTAAAGTGACCATTTTTCAAACAGTTACATGTACTTGAGGATCATTAATGTGATGTCTTCATAAATCAGCCATCGAGCACCAAGTGGAAAAAACAATTTTTGCCTCTAAAATTGAATTATCTTCATTCACTACAGTGTTTTGAAGATATATTGTCATTCCTTTCATCATAAATGTTTTGTTTGTATCTTCGATGACAGAGAAAAGTTCTACTGTATCTAAACAAAAGTCCCCGCCACTGAGCACCGCAGCAGTCCCCCCACAGGCAGACGGAGGAGCGACAGGACGGTGCACAGCAGCGTAGCCCAGACACAGGCCCCGTTGACCCCCACCACGGGGCGCAGAGGGGCGGAGAAGGCACGGAGCACCGTCCGACAGCCGAACAGGCAGGACGCCGCGACAGCGCGACTGAGGACAACCGTGCGACGACCGACGGTCCAAAACCACAACGAATTGCGACAGGGGATGAGGGTTTCTCCCATGACGAGAGTAAACCGTAAAAAAAACGTAAAACAAACACTAAAAAAGAATAATAGCGGGTGAGCAGCGGCAGCCAGACGCGCCAGCGTTCACTCAACCCGGAAGTCAAATGTCAGACAGATGAAGCTCTCGAGTCCAAGTCTGATTTATTTGACTGAGAATTTTTTTTTCAAAGCAATAATAATCATATTTTCTGAGTAGAAGCCCCTCTGTTCAATTTATATTTCATGAGAATTTAATTGACTCTCAACACCTAAATTAAAAACATCTTGAGTTATTTTGCCAAGTTATCATCACTGAATAAGATAACATTTCTAGAATGCCATGCCAGCTGTTAAGTTAGTGCAATGTGACCAGCAGATATTACTTTGGCGTTTATTTCATTGAAAGTCATTGGGTCAGACGTTGCAATTGAAGGCTGCCAGCAAATAAAGTTCAGAGGACAGTGGGTGGAGAGAAAGCGTGACTGTTTGTCCTGGATGTTGGAAAACTATAAGTGAGCCGGTGTTATTTTGAGACACAAACAAGAGGGCAACTGCGACATGTGAGTCATGTGGGCTGGCAGATGTGAGAGGGGGGGAAAACCAGCAATTGAGGTTTCACAAGAGAGAGCGTGATCGAGTGATGAAACCCATCCGGGAGCAACAGCAACAGGTGTTGTGTATGAGAAGGGGTGGTCAGGATGGAGCAGCTGTCTCGTCTGTTCACAACATCTCATCAAAAACAGACATGATGGACTGAATCGAGGGAGGAGAGCTCACGATTGAGGAGCACTCAAGACCTCCACCAACATCACATATGTGTCTGTTTAATAGTAATCAATGTCTGGTCGATGGTTGCAGTGTTTGCCTGTACATTACTGATGGGTGGACCGTGTTAGGTTCGAAACGAACTGAAAAAGGTTTAGATCCCAGAAATGCAGACACAGACAAAATGCAATAACAAAAATGTTTATCCAAAACGCAATACCGTCAACGTTCAAAACAGAAAACGCTGGTCACAAGGATCCAGGGAAAAACGAGGAATCAACAAAAAGGCACTTGCAAAAGGTAAGGTCATGGAACACCGAGAATACAAACGAAATGACAAGAGTTCAATTCACACGACAAACAAAAGCAAGATCAAATGACTAAACAACGACTGTACTTACAAAATGTGAAACTTAGGGAACAAGAATGATTATAACGAGATCAAAAGGTCGAGAAAAACAACACTTGAGGAAGAGCAGCAACAAGGTCAATAATCCGACAGAGACATGGGATCTTGGCAGTCCTTAAATACATGTCTTAATCATAATGATCAGATTGGAAGCAGGTGTGTATACTGGAGGAAAAGTCCTCCGCTGCCACATGCTGCAGACACACAAGAACAGGATCATGACGTATCGATCCAAATACTGATTGTCAATATAAATATCAAATGGTGTGTTCCAACAACATGGAGGATCACACCCCTCACCCTGCTTGGTAAGGTCTATTCTGGAGAGGAGTGTGCATTGGGAAGTCGTAGTGCTTTGGGAGTATCGTGTACTGCAAGGGTGTCCAAACTTTTTCATTTGGGGGCCGCATACAGACAAACGGAAGGATGAAAGGGCCACTGTGAAATCCTTCAACTTTTTGAGACACGCTAAAGTCAGTCAAGGAAGCATTTATGTATTGATCTTATTATCTGGTTAATTTCATCAGCTTTCTGTTGAGGTGTTAAGGAAAATAGTTTAGGATTTTTTTTGGGGTGGCCAACAGCCATCTATCTCACAGGGTAGATCCATCTCTGCAGTAAACACCAGCCGAATCCCATCTCCACATTCAGAACCCAAAAATGATCAAACTGTAGTAAAGTGACCATTTTTCAAACAGTTACATGTACTTGAGGATCATTAATGTGATGTCTTCATAAATCAGCCATCGAGCACCAAGTGGAAAAAACAATTTTTGCCTCTAAAATTGAATTATCTTCATTCACTACAGTGTTTTGAAGATATAT